GTTTTGATCATGCAATATGACCTATAAACAATCAGGTCAAATATGAATATTCGTTTGATTTTTGTACTTGATTTATATGTTGATCCCACATTTCTCCTATTATTATTATTATTTTTATTTTTAATAAAATGCTGAAGTGGTAGGTAGATGCAAGATAAAGGTAGAAAACATAGTTTAGTGCTGTAAGAAGGCAAATGTAGATGATCAGATGATCAGGTGTGTGCTATGGCAATTTTATTAGTAAATGAGTTCATGCAAGCGCTCAGATCAATGCCTCACATACAGTAGGTACTCCCTAAATCCTAGCATTCATCAATTTAACATTATTATTTCCAACCCCCATACCACCTGTCTAGAATATTTTACTAAAAACAGGAAAATGAGGGAGGAAAAAAGAGAATAAGGGAGTTAAAAAAGAAAGGAAGGAAGGAGCTCAAGGTTAGCTAGGGTCAGGGAGGTAGATATGTCTGGTGAACACTCAGGACCACTCCCAGAAGGAATGCTTGCTAGAAAGGTTTCTAAACAGTGATGTAGGCTACAAAGAGCATTAAGCCAAAACTGACCCTATGCTGGCAGAGACAAAGAGCCAGAGACCAGCCATATCAGATAAATGGAGTGAGCTGTATAGGAATTGTAGCCACAGATAATGAGGAGCCTCAGGCAATTTGATTGAAAACAAATTGAATTACGGGCTAAACAGGTCAAAAAGGAATATTCTTGTTACCCATATGGACTGTGCTGCAACCTTTAAGTAATCTTAATTCTTAAGATTACTGCTAGTTTACCATAATTTTTTAGGGCTCCTCCCCAGACTTTTGTGCTTTTTAATCTAACTTAATTTCACACTATTAAAAAACAGTATGAATGTTCCTTACTATCAAAACATTTGCAGATATTTAAAAATGTTAAACAGTATGCACAATATGATTCCTTGAAAAACAAATATTTGTGTACAAAAAAATTCTCAAAGACCAAAAGTTAAGCAAACCCTTGGCCACCAAAATTAAGAAACACACAGAAAGCTAGTGACTAGAAACAGTTTTTAATGATTTGTTGTGTTGAGGAAATTTTTATTGCAACCAGTTTGTGTCCTACCAAACTGTTTTGACTATATCATCTCCTGCCAGCAGAGAGCCAGAGAAGCCAGCTGATTAGGATGTCAGACTGCAGGCTGGTGAGATAGATAAGTGAAGGGTCAAAACAGAGCAAGAGCCAAGAAGAAATGGGGAGAAGTTGGAGTGCATCTTATCAACACAGAGTTAGCCTTCCTTCAAAAGTGTGGTAATTTCATCTTAGACCTAGACTCAGCCCTTGGGGAGCACCAGGACTACACTTGACATAGAACATACAACTAGAGGAAGAAGATGCTCTGAATGACAGAGTTCTCTCTCTCTTTTTTTTTTTTTGAGAGGGCATCTCTCATATTTATTGATCAAATGGTTGTTAACAACAATAAAATTCTGTATAGGGGACTCAATGTTCAATGTACAATCATTAATCCACCCCAAGCCTAATTCTCATCAGTCTCCAATCTTCTGAAGCATAACGAACAAGTTCTTACATGGTGAACAAGTTCTTACATGGTGAACAGTACAAGGGCAGTCATCACAGAAACTCAGTTTTGATCACACATTATGAACTATAAACAATCAGGTCAAATATGAATATTTGTTTGATTTTTATACTTGATTTATATGTGAATCCCACATTTTCCCTTATTATTATTATTTTTAATAAAATGCTGAAGTGGTAGGTAGATGCAAGATAAAGGTAGAAAACATAGTTTAGTGCTGTAAGAGAGCAAATTTAGATGATCAGGTGTGTGCCTGTAGACTAAGTGTTAATCCAAGCTAGACAAGGGCAATAAAACATCCACAGATGCAGAAGATTTCTCTCAAAACAGGGGGGGTGAGGTTCTAAGCCTCACCTCTGTTGATCCCCAATTTCTCACCTGATGGCCCCCCTGCAACTGTGCTTGTCTTAGGTTGTTCCTCCCTTGAGGAATCTTACCCGTCGACAGAGATCTCTTTTTAATGAAAGAATGTTTAGGACTGGCATTATCTCCTTTACACTAGGTATTTGCTTAACATGCCTTTTTTCATATATGGTAGAAAAAGCAAATTTGATTTTCCATATTCCTGAATGAATTACTATATATAACAAATGGGGGAGTGTTCTTAATCAGCTAAGTAGTTAAAAGAATCTTTTCCCGCTTTGTTTGGTAGTGGTGAGATGGGGATAATGGCACCTTCCTATTTCCTAATTCACAGAAATGATGGAGTATTTGAAGGAATTTAAGTGAAGTCATTGAATTCCAGAGAACACACACTGTAACTTTATTCTTCCTTCTCAGATAAAGCAACTGAAAACACTTACTTAGCTTAAACAGTAACTGTTCGGAATTTTCAGATTTTGTATTTGCATTTCTCATCCCATTACTAATTTCTGAAATTATAACTCTTTTGCCTTGAAATCTTGTTTTGCTCATTTAACAAATTTGCAAACAGTAGACTACTATGAATCACCCAGTCTATTACGCTTTAAAAAAGAAAAATGAATCTGGGGAATTTTGTGATAAAGCCAAAGGCTACTAGCAAGCATCATGTCTTCTTTGGTTTTGATGGAATGATTGTAAAAGACACCACTGATGAAATGCTTTCGTTTTAAAGATTATACTTGGTACAGTAAGAACCTGGAGCCTGGAGAGCTGGTTCTGCTGGTCATGCCATGTATTAGATGGGTGGCTTTGGAAGAGTCTTTTAGCTTCTCTGGGCCTTAATTTCCATTTCTATAAAATAGGGAGTTGGGGTTGTGCAAGGTGATCTTCATCCTCCCCTCAGCTCTAAATTTCTGATCCTACACTTATTAGTTATTTTGCTCAGTGTCTCATGGATTAATCAGGAAGAAAACCTGGCAGAAAAGTAAGAATTTTACCTGAATCATTTCATCATCTTTGCCAGCTCACAGTTTTTCTACTTTTTCAGCTAAGAACCCTGGAGTTGCTTTTGCTCTTTCCCTCTTATGCACTTCACAAACTAAAATATTAATTCATACACACTTGTAGAGAGTTCTTTCCAAGTTTTATCAATCACTTTTGCAAATACTCTCTTGATTATCACAGCAGTTCAGGCTGGCAGATATTATCTTCAATTTACCTAGTAAGGAAAGAGTAAGGCCTAGAAGTTTGGTGAGTTAACTGCCCAACACAGATAGTAAGTTAGGAGAACAGGCCTGATTCCAAAGTCAATACTCTTTTCACAACACTACAGTTTCTACTAGGGGCAGACCCAGGCTCTGTGGGGCCTGAGGTATATACGATTTTGGTGGGTATCTTCAAGAAAAACAATGAAAAGTTACAATAAAACACTCACTCTGATCCTGTGAACACATTGTTAGGGCCCCTCTCAGGGCCTTGGAAAGGATCAGTTCAACCTCAGGGTTAACATTTAGGATGCAATTTCATGGTTTTCCACAGCTATACATTTATTTAGTGCTTACTATATGCCAGACACTTAAGTAAATACCAATTTTATTATCGTAACAACTCTATGAAGTAGGTACTATCCTTGTTTTACAGAGCAGAGAATGAGGCTTGGAGAGGAAAAGTGATTTGCCAAAGTGGACAGAGCTAGTAAGCGCCAAGGACCAAAATTGGAACTCAGATCTGACTCCAAGGTCCATATTGTGAACCTATGACTCTCTGTTCCTCTATAAGCCTTTTTTTGAAATTTCCTGAGAATCATCTTACTCTACCACTTCCCATTTCATTACATAGTTTGGGCCCTCATAAGTTCGTGTTTGAACCAGTCCTATTCTTCCTCCCTAACCCAACTCCAGCATCTACCCTGATTGCTATTAGCCTAACAATCCCAAAGCACTGCTGTTCTAAAATCCTGGCAACCCCAGTGACCTGGTGTGTCTTCCTTTTCTGCATTTACCAAAGGTAAAAAGCAGTCATTACTTACAAGCAGTTTTTGACCATAGATTCTATGCTGTCTTCTACTAATACGTATAACTATTATTGAAAACTGCTATGAAAGAGGCAGAGTGGGTGACATGTAAACACACAGGGCCTGTGTCTCTCAATCCTGATCCCTCAATCCCCACTCCCATCAGTCTCAGGTTCTTCATTTGCAAAACAAAACCTAAGGCCAACCTCACTGGGTAGTGAGAAGAGGGGGAGGGCAGGGTTGGGTTGTACAGAAAATGCTCATCAAATGTTGGTGGATTTCTGCCTGAGGGAATCTCTCCAAAGAACTGCTAAAGTTCTTTGAAGGCAAGGGCCTTGACCTCATGCATTTTTGGTATTTCTCAAAAGTCAACAGAGACATTTCATGATTATTCAATTTGATCAGTTCAACAGATACACTTCAGTATCTGGACTTTCTCAAGAACCTACAAGTGCTCTCACAACAAAATCAGGCTCTGGAGTCAGACTTCACATTTTGGCCACTGCTTCTGTGACTTCTGGAAAGCTATTTAAACCTCTCTGTGCCTGAGGTCCCGTATTTGTAAAATGTTAATAATAGGACCTACTTCATAGGGTTGTGAGGATAATTAAGGTGAACTGCTAAGTATATAATCAGCCGTTCAAAACTGCTAGCTATAATTATGATGTCCTGTCCCGAATATAAAGTGTCCACAAAAATTTGGCCTCTGCGTTCTCATTTTTCCATGTTTCCGACATACACACCCTCCCCCTTGGGAACCGTCTCGCTACCCTCTGACCTGCTCTTCTTTCCCGACTTCTGTGTTTAATATCCACCATTCTTCAAATGCCACAAGCCAGGCTCCGTAGCGAGAAAGTTCCGTAAATTCTCTCATCAGAACCACCAAAGCGCCTGTGAGGTCGGTTCTATTACCGTTGCCATTTTAGAAAACAGGAAACAGGCCCTGAAGGTTTGAGTGCCTTCCCCGAGGTCACTGAACTCAAGTGGCGGGGCCACAGCGCGCGCTCCTAACCGCCGGCCCCGGGGCCCCTTCCCCTCTGCCCGGGCCCGAGGCGCGCCCGCGTCCGTTCAAACCCTGCCCAGTGCCTCCTCTTCCAGTCGCTTCCCGGCTGCTTCGCGCGCCCATCGCCCCGACACCTGAGTCCGGCCCCTGGGGGCGCGTCCTGTCGCGCTCGGCGACTTCTCCCTTTTCTCCGCCAGAGGCTGAGGGTGAGGCCCACGTTGGTGTCCTGCGCGTGTAGGTCACCGCGAGCTCCTCGCACAAGCGGCGCCGAGGCGCGAGTTTAGCAGAGAAGAGCGGGGCAGCAGAGCGCGGGTCTCGCCGTGCTGCCGGTCACGTGGCGGGGAGGGGGCGCCGGTGCGCGCGAGCAGGAGAGCGGGGGCGCGCGCCTGAGAGCGTGTGGAGGCGCAAGTCGCGGTTCGGGTGTCTGTTTCGGGGGGAGGGGGCGGCGGCCGGGAAGGCTGACTCCGCCCCCTGTGCGCATGCTCCGGCCTCGGCGGGTTATAAGGCAGCCCCGCGGGCACGGCCCGACAAAGTGCAGGCGAGCTGCGACGTGACTGTCCTGGCGCGTGGGTGCCCTAGCGAGCGAACAAGGCAGCCGGAGGAGGACGCGACCGGGACCCTGAGCCCCGCGGAACTCCAGCTGTGCCGCCGCGTCACGCACACGCTCGGCGCCGCGAGCCCCGCATAACGGTTAGTTGGGTAACGGCCGGCGGCTGCTCTCGGCGCGGACCCCGCGGTGCCCTAGCTTCCTTGGTGGGTCCAAGGGAGCCCCGGGGGAGCGGAGACCTTGGTCTCCGCGGGAGGGAGGCGCCCCGGCAAGGACCTCGTGGCCGCCGGCAGCCGCGTGGCTCCGGAGCGCAGCGTTGGTGAAGGAGACCTTGAGACGCGGAGACAGCGCCTCTCCCAGCCTAGCTGCGGCCCCGTGGTCAGGTGCTGGCCACCGGCCTGGCTGAGGAGTTGGGTGGTGGTGCCGGTGACCTTGGGGAAGTCTCTTCTCCCCTAAATGATGAAGAGATGCTTTTGGTCTGGAAAAGGGAAGACGTGTGGCTGATTAACGTGGTGCCTGCGGACTCTCCTAGCCGCCCTCTGCTGCGCGTTAAGGGACCTCGTTAAGGGACCTCGGGGCGGGAGTTATTTTGGATTCGTGGCATGCCCGCCCCAACCTTCTCAGCCAGGCAGTCCTGGTCCCACCTGGTGACTTGCCGTAGTGGTTTGGGGAGCTGCAGGGTTCGAATAGACTGCCGAAGGGACATGCCGCTGGCCAACTCCCGGGACTGGTGCTGACGGGAACTCTTTGTCATTCAACCTGTGGCTGCAAAACGTACGCCGCAGCGCCCTGGCGCTCTGGGTCTTTACGGCGGCCCTGTTGAGAGGAATCTGAAGGATAGCGTTACACTTGGTCAGATGCACGCGTTAAGTACATCCTTTTTTTCCACGTGCGTTTTAACATTTCATTTCTTTGTCATGATTTAATTGGTGCGAGAAGTATTTGTCAAAATTAGTTTGTAATTCGTCTTGACCAAGAAACAAACGTATTACTCCTTAGTTTCCAGTTGTCTGCTTATAAACTCGGCGTCTACTGATAACAGTAAATGTTTACAAGCTACTTTGCCATAACTAGTTTTGAATATTTTTTTTCAAAAGTTCTGGTTTTGAAGTAAAATGTGTACACGTCATTGCCGTGCTAAAGCAAATGTGGTACCGGAATGTCGTGATAGGGTGAACTCTGAATTGTGAGAGAGCTTGGAGAGTGTGAGTAGGAATTAAGCCATTAGTAAACAATTTCCATGTCAGCTACCAGCCCAGTGGGGTGAAGCAGAGACGTATCTTTAGCTTTTTAGTAAAGCATTAAATAGTACCCATAAATCCAAGTCTCCTATTTTGGTGTATAACTTTGCCTGCAAGTTGTCATAGAAATGATACAAGAATTCAAGACACCTAGCTTTTAAAAAATATTAAACAAAAGTTGAACGTTCTTCAGTAATTCAGAGTTTAGATAGATGTTGTTTCATCATATTGCAGTGACCCTTGTTAAATATGCACATTAATGGTCTGGGGAGCATTTTGTGAGGTTTTTATAGCTGAATAGATTTAAAGGTTTATTTGTGAGTTTAACATAATAGGCTATAACATCCTGAAACAGATTAAAAAGGAAAAAAGGTCATCCACCATACAATGAAACCAACTGATTAGTATTGCAATAATTTATGTATCTTTTGACTTTTAAATCTCAATTGACCAGCCAGTCAGGTTCCCATATATTAAGGATTAGGAAACTGAGGAGAGGTTAAGTATATCATTTTAGGTCTGAAAACTTATTAATGGTTGGGTGGAAATTACGTGTTTCACTCTTGAGCTTTCTTTAAAATTGCAACAATGGACATGAATTATCTCATACTGAAAGTAGATATTTTGAATAATAACTTTTCCCAACTTACTGTGTTTTCAATCTACTTCATAATATGTATTCCTATGCAGGGTTTAGGTCCCTGTAAATGCCTACATGGGCATTCTGTTTTTGTTGCACCTGAGGACTGGGAAGGTAGGACTTGGATATGAGAAAAACAGTTAAGAAACTTGTGAATTTTATTTGTTAAGCAATTTGTTATTGGCTATACAAGGCATTTTGAGAGACTTGGGATTCAGCAGTGAACAAATTTCAGCCCTATCCCTCGGGAGTTTATGGTCTTACCTAGAAAACAGATAAATACACAATAGTCACAGTAAGTATTGTGTGCTATGATAAAGGAACAACAGGTTCCTATGGAAACTATATTATGTAGATGTGAAAAGACAATCAGTTTAGAATAGAAGCATTCTGGGTAGGCTTCTCTGAGTAAATGCTATTTAACTTTTAGACTTGAAGGTTAGGACCTAGCTAAGCCAGGGAATCATAGTGGGAAGAGCATTCCAGACAAGAGTACTGAAGCCACAGGAACAGGGTGGATGAGTAAAACTGAAAAATTTTCACCAAAGCTAAAGCATAAAGAGGAAGAGAGGAAGAAATGGAAGTTGAGAGAGGTAAATAATAGAAGGCCTTAGAAGTCATTTAAGGAGTGAGGGAAGGGACTAGGTAAAAAAGTTCAGGGAGGCACTCTTGTCTGGAAGCTAACTGAAAGCAGTTTTAAGAGTTTTAAGTGGGCTAGGGATAGCATGATCAGAGTTTGCATTTTAGAAACATCACTCTGGCTACAACGTGGAGAACAGGGAGGCTTTTGGAGTGTTGTAAGACTACAGTGTTGGACAAGATGGACAGTAGCAAAAGGATGGAAGAGAGAGGGTAACAGAGAAGATTAGGTGGTGTTACAGATGTGATAGACTGGGGAATCCAGAAGAGTTAATGGTATCTCCCAGGTGTCTAACTTGAGCAAATATGAGTTTATAAAAGTAATATTTGTCTCCATGTAACCAGTGGGGACATTAAGAGGTTGTGTGACTAGCCCAGGGCTGCTCAGGTTATAAGACTTAGAAACAAAACTCAAATCCATTCCTGTCTTGTCTGTGCTTTTGTTTGTGTTATCAATAGTGATCTTTTTATTTTTTCCCTTCTAAACAATTTATTATGGAACATTTCAAACACCACCAAAAGCCATTACGGTTTCATCTGTATGTTCCCCCACTTAACGCACCCACCCACCCATCATCACTAGATTATTAAGAAGCAAATCCTAGATATATTATTTCATCTGTAACCAGTTAAGTGAATCTCTAAAATAGAGATGCCTCTTAAAAAATCATAACCATCATACCATTATCCCACTTTAAAAAAATTAACCAAATAACCAAGAAATATTCAAAATTTCCTGTATTGTTTCAAAATAACTGGTTTGTTTGATTTGGGATCCAAATAGTCACATGCGACATTTGGTTCATATATCTTTTAATCTACTGTTTCCCCAGTCCTCATTTTCCTTGTAATTTTATTGAAGGAACCAGGTTATTTTTCTTCATTCTGTGTTTTGTTGAATGTGTCCTGCTCGTATAGTTTTAGCATGTCCTAGTTTAACTTGTCCCTGTATTCCCTGTAAATTGGTAGCTAGATTGAAGATTTTGCACAATGTCGATTAGTTCAGGTTTGACTTCTGAGAGTAGGGATGGTGTGGGGGAGAGGGCAAATACAATTCATAGGTGGTGATAATGTATGGAGGCATATGACGTTTGATCGTCCCTCATTCTGCTATATTAACAGCCTAGTTCTATTATTGCATTAGTGGTTTGCAAATGGCAGTATTTTAACTGTGCATTTAACATTCCTTCTTAATTGAGAACTAGAATATCTGTATTAAAGAGAAATACATTTTTTTCAGTTTTGCTGGGATAAAATTTACATCACTGTTTAAGGTGTGCAACATAATGGTTTGAAATATACTGTGAGATGCTTACTGCAGTAAGTTTAGTTAGCATCCATCATCTCATATAAATATAATAAAAGTAAAAATGAGAAAAATTTCCTTATGATGAGAACTCTTAGGATTTACTCTATAATCCTAAGTGTTAACTATAGTCATCATGACACCCCTACTACTTATTTATCTCATACCTGAAGTTTGTACGTTTGACCACTTTCCTCCAAGTAGTTTGAATAGGAAGGGAAAATTTAAGTTTGTGTGTTTAATACAGTATCATATATGATTGAGGCACTATCTTTTTGGAGTAGTACATTTAATATAACCATGTATGTCCTCTTTAAAAGCCAGTATTTTGTTAAAATGTTTTTAGTGCCATGTTAATGTTTCAAATGGCTTTTAGTATTTGGAATGTTTAGAATTTCTGTTCTTAAGCTGCTGGGGTTTGGTCTTCTCTGTTCTTTCTTGAAGAGTTTGTATGTTCCTATAACTTTTGGAGAATTTCTGATAGAATCACTACCAAATCTGAACCTCTGCTGTAACCAAATTACAGATTGTAAGTTCCTTGAGGATGGGGATTGATTACTTTTAATCAATCATCTGCTATTCCAGTTACCTTTTATGCATTCCAAACTTAATGTGTTGCTTAAGATTTATTATCTCTGCCTGTTTCTCAAATTTCCTTCTTTCTCAAACCTAGTCTTTTCTTTTGACTACCAAAACCTCCAAGTTTAAAACTCTGAGTCATCTTAATATTTCTCTGTGGATCCCTGCCCTACCAAATGCAATTAAGTGCCAAACCCTTATCCCATTTATTATCTCTTGTGCCCATCCTTCCTCCCCTGACTCATTCTTAACTACTGCTACCTAATTTAGGCTGCTGCTATGATTGGTGCTATCACTGCATTCCTCTTCAATCTGTCCTATGATGTGTTGCCAGTTCTGGTTATGTCATTTCTCTAATCAACCTTCTCATGGTTTTCTCTAGTACCTAGCAGATTTAGGATTTGGATAGATATAAGTCTTCTACAGTATCTGGCTCCGGTTTGCCTTTTAAATTGTGTATGTTCTTTAATTTTCCCTGATGAACTGAAATTTTCCTCTATGCTTTTTTCCCTGTAAATTTTTTTTTCTCCTTTTTTTTGGTTGTAGGATCTATTTTGTAATGGATCTGTATGGCAGGAAGACTAACACTGGTGACCCTGCATCATATAGAGAAGTAATTAAAACAGCAATAAGTATCTTAAGAAAATGGTGATTTTTCTTCTAGGGTCACAGTGTATACAGTGACACTGAGTTCACATCCGCCATGAGAGTGAGACTCTGCAAGGGCTGAGCCACTGAGGAGTGACATTGACTATTTATGCAGAAGCAGTAGGACCCAGCTCTGTTGGTTGTCCCACTACCCTTTTGCTAATCACAACTCATATTGTTGAATCTGATTTGATTATAATGACTTAGCCTTTGCATAAATCAAAATATATGAGCATTGATATTTGATTAAAAATATTTCTTCCTTATGTTTTTGTTCTTCCTATCTAAATCCTCTGAATATTATTGATTGAATGGAAGCCTCATGATTCTGCTCTGTGTGTTAGACTGTTTTGGATAATAACAGGGCTTTTGTACATTGTCTGATTGAATTTTAAGAACCAAAACTAAGCTTTTACTTTAATAGCTTTTTCTTCTGTTCTTCTATTAGGGGTGTTTAACCTGGGATCTGCAGATTGATCCTCCATGGTGAGTGGAATCCAGGGAGTCTGTGAACTTAGTTGGAAAAAAAATCAACATCTTTTCATTACTCTTTAAGTAAAATTTAGAATTTATTTCAACTATGAATGTAGACATCAAACCATAAGAGCATTAGCAGTACCAGTGACTTTGTCACCAGTATAAATCACATATTTTCATGTCATAATACTGTGGTTGCAGCCTTCTTAAAATTGTTTAAATGTATCACTACTTTAAAATTACCGTGGTTACTAGACCCATTAATCTTACCTAATTTGTAATTTTAAAGGCACATTATTATACCCAGTTAAAAATATTTTGACAAGTACATCTTTGTATTTTATTTTATGCACTTAAAAACATTATTCTGACAAGGACTCCATAGGTTTTACCAAAGTGTCAAAGGAATCTGTTGCACCAGTCTCCTGGCTCTTAACTCCTGTACTTCTGTTCAGATGAGAGTGTGATACAACACAACTCACAAATCATGATGTCACAGATTCTGTACATTCTTTGGCCATTGACTTTTGTGTATTAAATCATCATAAATTCTGATCACACAGATGTGAAGGAACAAAATGCTTGTGTGTATACTAAAGGTGAATAAATTATTTTCATAAATTCAGGCAGGATAATTTTCCTCTCTTCAGAAAGTGTATGTTTTTTTAATAACTTAAAATTACTGTTTCCAGAGGCATTCTATTTTAAGGGCCATTAGTTAAATGGAACTTTAGGTGTCTTCATTGACTTGGATTTTCTTGCTCTCTTTCCAAGCATCAGCAAATGTGCTTGAAATTGCTTCAAATCTTATCTTTGACAGCTCACTGTATAAGATGAAGGCTTTTATTTTGCTCAACTCGGGGAACACCTTCAGAGATCAGTGAACGTCAGGTTTGAAATACCTGCTTAGTAGGTTAGAAATATATACGGCATTCTATTGTTACTATTTAATATGTTTGTGTTTCCTCTATCACCTTGAAAACTTCTTGATGAAGTGCATAGAATGAAGAGTGGTTTAATTACTGTAGTTTCCAGGAAAATAAAACACTTATTTGGAAATTGTATATTTATAATAAAGAAACTGTTACTATCTTCATAACAGTACAAGATTTCTTTTGTCTGCAATTAAAAAGTCTATTTAACTGTAGTGTGTCTTAAGGTAACACTGACTTCTTTTTGGTGTATCTTTAGTAGCTGTGAACATCTAAAAAAGCTGTTGCAAATATTTGAGGATGGTGGCTATTGCTTTAATGCCAAGCAGTATTCAATTTTAATGCTTTTTTGTGGCTTGTCATAATAAAACAAGAAAATAAAACAACTCAGTTCTTTATTTCAGCTGATGAGGGTCAAAGGTAGCACAAAAATTAAGTTCAGATTTATTCAAGGGAAGTTTATTAAACAATTACGTGTGTAAGAAATTAATAGAAATGGATGAAGAAATATGTATTTTAAAATACGATTTGAGAACTTTTAGAATGAGACTAATGATTTAAAATGAAATGTTACTGTATCACTATGTTGTCTCCAGTCCTCAAAACTTAAGATATTTTTTATGGGAAACTAAGTGCAGTGTTAATTATTTCTGTGAGTGAATAGTTCAATTCAGTTTTTTGCAAGAAATGGGAAAGCTTTCTTTGTTGCTTATCTTTTAATGAATTTTAATCCACTTATTCTCCCCATTTAGTCTTCAGAATACTGGAGGTGAAGTAGATTCCAGCAAAAATGCCAGCTTTTATGCTCAGATACTCATTTACATTCAAAGTAATAAAGTGACACAAGCCTGACAACACATCTATTTATAATTTTAATCCAGCCAGAAATTTCTTCATATTCTGGAACAAGGTAGGTCATTAGTAAATTGAAATGGCCACTTAGATGTTGATTTCTTGAATATGTTTTTGGGTCGTTGAAGAAAACAAAACACATACAGGTATTCCAGAATACCTGGAATTTTGCCAAGCAAAATCTACCATTGAAAGATATAGCCTCCAACTTCCCTTTTTTTACTAATGCTTACATTCTTATATTTTATAAAATGTGAAATGGGTCTATATTTAGAAACTCTTGCTCAAGCAAGAAATAAATTAACATGAGAAAGAAACAGCACAGAGAAGACAAGTAGTGATTTTACAGCATCTTATTACACTGATGGACAGTGACTGTGAAGGGGTATGTGGGGGGGACTTGGTGAAGTAGTAAACATAATGTTCTTCATGTAATTGTAGATTAATGATACCAAATAAATAAATAAATAAATATCCAAAAAAAAAAAGGTGCCCCTGGGACAAAGAAAAGCCAGAGAAAGGAACAGGACATGGTCTCAACATGGACAAATGGCCAGTTTTTCAGTCTGTGAGAGGCAGGTAAAAATGAAGCTTAAAGAAGGCAAAATCTGCTGGTGTAGTAATAACCCAGAAAGTGAGACCAATAAGTTGTGTGTGCCAAAAGTTGTATTCAGTAATTTTTTTCTTTATTTAAAAAAAAAAATAGTTTTCTGTCTCTTTGACTGTAGAGGGCACTAGGCCCAGAAAACATGACATTTTTGGTTTTTTTTTTTTGAGAGGGCATCTCTCATATTTATTGATCAAATGGTTGTTAACAACAATAAAATTCTGTATAGGGGACTCAATGCACAATCATTAATCAACCCCAAGCCTAATTCTCAACAGTCTCCAATCTTCTGAAGCATAACGAACAAGTTCTTACATGGTGAACAGTGCAAGGGCAGTCATATCACAGAAACTTTCGGTTTTGATCACGCATCATGAACTATAAACAATCAAGTCAGATATGATTATTCATTTGATTTTTATACTTGATTTATATGTGAATCCCACATTTCTCCCTTATTATTATTATTTTTTTTTAATAAAATGCTGAAGTGGTAGGTAGATGCAAGATAAAGGTAGAAAACATAATTTAGTGCTGTAAGAGGGCAAATGTAGATGATCAGGTCTGTGCCTATAGACTAAGTATTAATCCAAGCTAGACAAGGGCAACAAAACATCCACGGATGCAGAAGATTTCTCTCAAAACGGGAGGGCGGGGGGTGCGGGGCGGGGTTCTAAGCCTCACCTCTGTTGATCCCCAATTTCTCACCTGATGGCTCCTCTGCATGTTAGAGGGGTTTTTATGGTTTCATATTTTCCCAACTCAAAAACCGGGAAAATCAGATTCCTTGGAGTTCATTTAATGCTAACATTTGGTAATAGGGGAGGTTTTAATTTTTTTTAAGTGGAAAGAATAATTTCTACTGTCCTTCATAATTTATGATCTCAAAGCATACATCCAAACTAATTAGGGAAACAGTTACTTAGTTTTTGTTTTTAGAATTCAGAATTAATTTAGTTTTAGTTTCAGAATGCTACCCAAGAAGCACTGAGTAAGATATAGTTGAGGAAATTAACTTCATTTGGCAAGGTGTATTCAGAAAAACAATAAGGAGGTATTGGTATCTGGAGTAAAATTTTAGTGCTCAATAAAATTAGAATGGTGGAAATTGTCAGTTAATGAAAACTAATTTCACTTTTGCAAATTACTAAATGCTGTATCACATCAATATGTGAATGTGTAACAAAACTATCTTGTTGTCTTTTTATGTTTCTGACTTGGTCTTTAAGACTAAGGTGTCCTAAAGCACTGGTGCCACTTGATGGTTGGCATGTCCTTTTCTCCCTGGGGAATCATGTAGTTGACTGTCTCTTCCCTTCTTGCTCATTCACAACTTAGATTGCCTGAAGCATGATTCCATAATGGACTATGAACACAAACTTTAAAGTCCTTTAACCTACCCTTCTCTACTTATAACTCACTTGTAAGCCTTATCAAAGTCTCTCTTATTTTTCCCTTTCCTCCTTTCCTCTCTGGTTTATGAGACAAAAGAACCTCTATCTTTGCTAATAGGTGTGAGAAGTACTAATCATACAACAGTATCAAGGACAAGGAAACTTGTAAGTATATATTTTAATTAAGACTGATGTAATAAAGAAGCAGTTCTACTAACTTCTCTTTAACTTTGAAATATCCAAAGAAGTTATTTCCTAGTCTTTGGATATCCTCATCCCTAAAGAGGACTACTGTAAATTGATCTCATGGTTTTTGTTTTAGTTAATTATGCTTTTGTTTTCTAAAATATATTACAGACATACATTACTTTAGCTTCTCTATGATGTGACTCTGAGGAGGAGCCTAGGTGCCTAACCACATTGAGGTGGAAAAGTACTGTGGAAGTTAGGAATTTGCAGTGAAAAATAAAAATGAATTTTGTGCTTCTTTTGACTAGGTGGCCAACTTTTACCCAAGAATCTTAATGCTCAGCCCTAAATAACCCACAGACCTGTTATATTGGAGAGCTAGCTGCTTTTTATTCATCTGATACTAAATACCCCATGCACTTTTAATGTAGAAAAAATGTAGGTGGTGGTTATTGTCTGTCTTGAAATAAACTTTACCACTGTTGGCAAATACTAAGAATATTGGTGCTCTTAAGTTTTAAAGTATGGTACATCTGTAGAGTACAATACCATTATTCAAAAATAATACTGTAGAATTAGACACATATCAACAAGAGTTTCTGATATTGAATGAAAAGAGCAGGCTATAAAGCAGCATACAAATACAATCCCGTGCTTGTATGCTCTTGTATGACTATCCTGGAAGTACGTTTAAGATACTGTACATCAAAATGTGAATAACTTAAGTGAGGGTGGTAGAATAACAGGTAAATTCTGTCTTCTCTTCACAGTTGTATCTTTTAATTTTTAAATAATGAGCACATACAACTTGTCTTTTATTTTTTTAATTTAAAATCTTTAAATTCTTTTTTAATTAAAAATTTTTATTGAAATATAGTTGATATACAGTATTATATTGGTTTCAAGTATACAACATAGTGATTTGGCAGTTACCTACATTATTAGATGCTCACTCCAACTAGTGTAGTTACTATCTGTTAACAAAGAAAGGTGTTACAGAATTATTGACTGTATTCTCTATGCTGTGCTTTCATCCCCATATCTAGTTTGT